AGTCAGTAAAAAAGACTACAGCCTTATTCCGTATTACTGTTAATGTTTGTTAGTCAGTAAAAAAAAGACTACAGCCTTATTCCGTATTACTGTTAATGTTTGTCAGTCAGTAAAAAAAAGACTACAGCCTGATTCCGTATTACTGTTAATGTTTGTCAGTCAGTAAAAAAGACTACAGCCTTATTCCGTATTACTGTTAATGTTTGTCAGTCAGTAAAAAAAAAGACTACAGTCTGATTCCGTCTCTGAACTAAAGAATATGTTTAGTGTTTAAGTTTTCTTTTTTTTTTTACTTTCAAGAAAAAACAAACGAGTCAAGTTTTTACGAAAGAAGACAAATTTGTTTGTATTACACCTTCATGTGTCATAGAGAAAACACAAAAATGATGAGAAATCTCCACATTTTCGTTAACCAATGACGTCATCACTTAAACTACTGGCAATTCTTCAAAACACAACATTTACGCGGGCTCAGTTTTGGTTGGAAAAACAGACATTAAATATATCATATTTTCAATATTCGAGAAGAAAAACTACAGACTAAGGCTTTTAAATTTTTTCTGATAATCGATGCTAATCATTTTTTGATTCGTTTTGAAAATATTGGACTTTCTTTCCATTCGTATTACAAAATAGATAATAATAATAATAATTGGTTTAATATTTAGTTCAGATCGAAAGTTTAACAAAATAAAATAGTTTTACATTTACTCTTCTAAGTACTTAACGTTCTAGCACGAGCTTACTTCTTTTCCTTCTTTTGTCCACTTCAACACGGCTTCGTCGTCACCACAGCAACCAGCACAACTTATTATAGCCGCTTCACCCTCACATCTGCATAATTCATAAATCTATATTTCTTTCATTACTCAACCAAATAAAATATGATTAATTTTCGAAATGTGATGCTTCTAGAAAATAAGTGTTTATAACAATAACACTTCGCTTAATTTTTCGCGATATTTATAGATAAAATAAATTACGAAAACTGAGAATTGGTACATGTAGCATCCACGACACAGGCTTTTGTGCAAAATGATCAAATTTCCCAAACTGTTTACTTTAGCTGTTTTCATCAGAACTACTGATCTTCAATAATAACGTACATGGAAAAGAAATGTAATACGATACACTCAGCGGATCTGAACATCGTTTCTCAAATTGTGCTCCATAAATGTGTCTAGCAGATACAAGTAATGGAAACATTTAAAAACCAACAACCTGTGAATCATTCATGTCGTTTTCCTCATATATTAGATAGAAAAAAAAACTAAAGGTAACAAAACTCCACGAATTTATTTTGTATTTCGCTTAAAACAAAGTAAATAGTGGCGTAATTTCCTGTATTAAATCACGTGAGCTTCGCCAGTCACTTCCACTATTTTACTATCTTGTGATATACTTATTCCTCCCTACGTGTTTTACTGATATTCAGTTATTACCAAGAAATAGAGTATTAATAAGAAGAGAACAAAAATGCGAAGAGGTGACTCATAACATTCTATAATTGACGTGTGAGCACTCGATTAAATCTTGTATTTCAGTGAACACCACAATGATGACGTCTATTACGTTATCACCATTCAACTTTACAGACTGTAAACTATAGATTAACTTAAAGAAGAAAAACTAACAAAGAGTGTTACTATTCTCGTTTACATACTTTGATTGCATGACTTCGTACATATGGGGGCTTTACAACCTCACTCAAACCATAAATATTCGAACAATTCGTCAAGTAGTTATGATACAAACAGGCAGCATGAAAAAAGTACGTGAAGCAGGAGAATGAGTAGCGAATGTAATTTGCTTTGTTTAAATGGATTTTTTTTTTTCAAACGGATGTTCTTAGAAAAACAAACTTTTCTTGAAGTTCTCAGGGGCTTTTGCAATAAATCCATCATCTGGATAACTTTTATGCGGTTTCAGCTTTTATTTCGTACTACTTGGTGTAAAACCATCTCCTTAGCATCTCCAAAGAGAAGAAATCCCGTGAATAATATAAAAGGAATATACACTCTACAATCTAATCAGGACGATGAAGAACAAAACATACGAGCGGATGAAATAAAATAAAGAAAAAATGCAGGGTTTGATGAAGCACATAGCTGAACACAAATGCTGAAGTCTTCAGAGACATTGAAAGAAATGAGCACCAACAGGATAACCTAGAATGGTAAAATGGCTTACACTTACCCGCACACAATTACATTCACACACACACAAGTGTGTAAACTTCCCGAGTATTCGGGATTGTCTGGAATGTTCAAATAAAGAGACGTCACTTCTTCTTCCAAAGAAAAAATGCTTCGAATTAAATAATATTATCGGTAGTACTTAAGATCAGAGCCTGGCGAGTTTGAGGTAGTTTGGCACTTTCTTCAAGTCACGAACGAGAGGGGGAAAATAAAAAACTAAAGAAAATGGAGATGGGATGAGTAACAAGTACACCTATGTATAAAATTAACTGAAGATGAAAAACAAGTCTCGACATGGGGGGTGCTAGAAAGAAGACTCGTAAAACAATAAATTTACAACTGCAGAACTTTGAAGGAAATGTGCAAAAGAAAGTCTGTAAAACAGTCCAATCAGGGAATGAGCTATACTAATATAAAAATATACAGGAGGGTAGAATACGGACTAGAATTCTTAACAAGGCATAGATCGATAAGGCCTACCGGAAGTACAATCCTTAAGAGAAAGTATGAGGAAATGGAAATAAGAAGTTATGAGAAACTAAAATGGGACACAAGAAGTTAAATCAACCTGGAACATATAAAATAAAACAATTATTGAAATAAGAGTTCCAAAAAACCGTATGGTGAACCACTAATTTCCATGAAAGCGGAGTAGAACAAAAAATCGCTAATTTTAAGAGAAAACATAGAATCATGAGATGGATCTTTCTGAACAGCAACTGTTTTCTTACTTTGTTTCAACATACAGGTTTGTAGTAAAGTAGATTTATGAACATTAGTAACGACTGAAAAGGGTCTGAGTTTCTACTTACAACTGAGACATGAAAATGTTGGACTAAATGACAAAATGGTGTGTTACACCAAAGGTGTCAGAGCAGTCAAGCGAAGGAATATGATCTTCAACAAAATATATGGTACATAATGTATGAATTTATGCATGAGCAAAACTGAATACAAGTTAAATAAAAGGTCTGTCAGAGAAGTCTGGATCTGGTATAAGATATAGTATAGTAGTTTGATTTTACATAAATGTATAATCGAGAGATCTGGAATGGTCGAGGAAGAAGTTGCATAGAATTGTGCTCAGACATAGGTCGAAGCTTGTAATACGACTTTAAAGAGGAATAACCCAACAGTCTATCTAAGATTGAGGAAAGTGCAAAAGAAGATTTAGAAATGGTGTTGTCAAAAAAATTAGGTTTGCAGGAATTTGATTGGATCTGGAACATCACGTACAGAAAGATTACGTTCCTCTACAGAATAAATATCTTCACAAAAGATGTAGAAACACACACAAAAAGAGATGGGGAGCTTTATAGAACGAAAGACGGTTGGCGGATAATGTTAAAACTCTTCACATTGAATAGTTATATAAGCTTATTGTGGCCAGAATGGGCAAGAGGTTAGAGCGTATTATGTCCTGCACAGATAAAAGGTTAGAGCTTATTGTGGCCTGAATCTTGGCTGTTGGGGATTTTTCACATATCAAAGTGATAACCATTAGAGCTATCACGGAGGACGGTATATCGTCCAAAGTCAACTATGTCGTGATGATGCTATAAAAAAGCCCCAAAGTGGCATAGCGGTATGTCTGCGGACTTACAACGCTAGAAACTGGGTTTCGATACCCGCGGTGGACAGAGCACAGATAGCCCAGTGTGTAGCTTTTTGCTTGAATTACAAACAAACGAACAAAAGATGCTATAGAAAAATGCTGATAGGGCTATCTATCATAGGGCTAGAATTAGTCCTGAAAAGAGTTACTCTGCTGAGTGTTACAACAAAAAACAAATTCCTCAAAAAAAGACTAATAAAAAAACACGAAAAAAGAAAATAAAAATATAGCCTCATCAAACAAAAGTTAAATTAAAATTAGAAAAAAAATGAAACAAATAAAGAGAAGCTAAATGAAATCAACAAAAAATGTTTGTACCAAGAATAGGCTCAGCATATGAATGGATAAAAATAGAGAGAAAATGCCTAAGAGGAAGGGCGATAGATCAAGAAACACGATTAAGACAACAAATATAGTGGGTATAAAAGTAAAATACGTATGTATTTCACTAGCAGATGTACCCTATCAACACACGAGAAAGACATAAGGGGCATTACATACGGGGCAGATCCGAACGTCGACCGCTATGTAACTCCCCAAAAGGCCCTAAAATACATCTCAGGTTTGTCGAGATTGGTGAAAAACTATAGGCGTGAAGGGTGGTTACACAGACAGGCTTTCTTCTCTGGGGGAGTGATACAAATATTCACAGCAACCCCATATTACACTTCTCCTTGGGTGCCCGCAGGAAGGGGCAAGAGGAGCATTTACCCCCTTACATTTCACAAAACATTGCACGTATTATGATGTAAACTTAACATCATAGTTAAACTAAATATCTAAATATTTTTAGTAATTTCTATTAAAACTGTAAATTTGTATTTGCGTTTAAGCACAGGTAACACATATTCTATTAGTCTGTTGAGTTACACTGTAAAAGCTGCAAAAAAACTCTATAAGAAGATACATTAGGTATCAGGGCTTGGTGATTTGTACGTTAACCCTAAAGCTGATTATAATTATATCCAGTCAGCTGCCCTTTCAGTTTTCTTGAAATCAGAAAGAACTGAAAGAAATCGAAAATTTACCTTCTTTGATGAATTTAAAACGTTTTTGTTTTCCCTGAAAAGGATATATAATAAAAAAAATGTTCTTCGTTCTGTTGAATCAAAACGAAATGCAATAGTTGAAACTGATACTTGAACTCTATTTGTACGAGAGCGGGAAAAATTGAAGAACATTCTATCTGTCAATGTTACAGAACAAATCATCATACCAACAGTCTATACTGATTGAGGTATAACAAATTTTCGAAGAAATATAAATATATAAATGCAATGAGAAAAAGTCTTAAAGAAATCTTTGAGAAAGGGACTACAGGGAGTATCAGAGCAAGTAAGAAAGATATGTAAAAACAAGGACACGTATTCATTAACCATTAAATTGACAAACTTCTGAGCAAGAAGAGTTTAAGCTCTTAATAAATTGATTTCTTTCAAAACATTAACCACTGAATTTGTTACCTAGAATGCCTAAACTTCTCAGACTTTTTCTCATTCCCTGAATTTATCATGTTTAGATATGTTGGAACTTACGTGGTCTGTAGCAAGCATCGGATGGGTTTATCAGAAATCTTTATCCTTTCCTGCAGAATAAGTTGATACGTGTACGGAAATTCACTGCTACTGAAAGACATATTACTGACTGTCTCGCTGCACTTCAATGAGCTGCTGTTACAACCATCCGACAGGAGTAGCGTGTGATGTGTAAACCCGTCTTTTTCCACGGTAGTTGTGGACAACTCTTCATCATTGACCCAGTTAGATGTATTGCTAGTCTGGTTCGTGTTCATATAGCAACTAGAGCAGGAGTCTTTTACACTAAGAGGAGAGCCAGAATCGCTTTCTGTTATTAGGCCATCTTTGTACCAACGAGGTAACTGATGATGAACATCTGGAAGCATGGATTCCAAACGTGGCGGTAAACTTGAATCAGCTGAAAGTTCTGAATAAACAGAAATTGGTGAATTCGATGGGTTTAAAGTGGATATGCTTTTCGAATATTCACTACTGACTGTTTGTTTATTTTGAGTTTTATTTATTTTACAATCTTCAAGAACAGTTTTTGTAGTAGCTTCTCCAATTGTTTTGGTAACAAAAGATAACTTTCGACACTCGTCATCTGCGTACTTCACAAAAATGTCATCAAAATCAAAGCTACCGCTGGATATAGAAGCACTTAACGTGTCTCCACTCAATACTCCGCGTATGTCATCAAAACTAGTAGCTGTAAACTTCTTAGTTTTCATTATAACCTTCTTTCTCATATCAGATAGGTTTTCCAATGAATTACATCGACAGATACGTTTCTTGTTATAGTCCAAAGAGTTCTGTAAACTCAAAGGTGGCCGAGTCGATGGTTTTACGGCTTTGGATAAAATTCTGTCACCGAAAACTGAATTTTTCACACTACTTAGACCACTTTCTAATATACCAGTGTTACATGGAGCCTCGAAAAGAAAAACAGGGTTAACACTGATATCGTGAAGTTTGTTTTTCTTAATGAAACCGTTGTCTGCTAACCAACTGCTCGAGTCTCTATGAATGCGTCGACTTCTTTCTATCAATGTGGTTTCCTTACTTTGTACATGGCTTAACTGTCCATTAATACTATGTAAATCACGTTTATGGGGTTCTTTGGCTTCATGAGAGTTTGATAGTTTTGGATATGACTGTTCAAAGTTTTCAACATTATGTGGGGTGAAATCCTGGGTGGCGGGTGCACAGAAGAAACGCCCATCGCAAGCTGTGCGGTGAAAGTTTATTTCTTCATCTGGTAGATTTCTGTTCTCCACAATACACTCGTCTAGAGTAAATGTTTTCGTATTGTAATAACATTCATTTTTCAACGAATTCTGAATGTAGTCATCTGACATACTTTGATTCACAATTCGCTGTTCAGATTTTTTAAGGTCGTTCTCACGATCGAGAAGACCATTTTGTTTATTTATATATGTAACGTTTCTTTCAACGCAAGGTACAGTGCTTACTGAAGAACCGTTAACGCTCTGAATTGCAAAATCTTTCATCGGAGTTTTTTGATAACAAATGTTTTGCAAAATACTAGTAGGACCTACAGAGAGGGTTGCGTTTTCTAGATCATCATTTTCAATTTTATTGAAGCCTTCGTTAACCTGTAGTATCCCCCTTTTGTCACCCTTCTTGTTTATGAATTCAACAAAAGTCACAGGTACAACAGTTTCAGTACTCAGCTGTCCACTAGAGGTGCTCGTGCTACTTCCCTCGTAGCCAGGTGACTTAACTTTAACATCCGAGTTTTGTTCTTCAGATGACGCTGCTATTTCTGATGGAATCGTGCTCTGGTAGCAGTTCAAAAGCACCGCAGGAGTCGGAATGTTGACAGTATAGCGGCTGCTGTCCTTCTTTCGCGTTATGGTGGCATTTTTATCTTCAGCTCCGTGTTCATTTCTCTTCTGCTCAGCCAGAACTTCCTGTAAGAGCAACAAAAACGAGTATTTTTTTTTTTACAACAACATAATATATCGTTACATTTTTTCTCATCCTTTGAAAGTTTCATTAACGTAAAGCTAGATATATTCAAGAAAGTTTCATTATAAATGTACGTAAACTTGTGTAGTCCTTAAGAAAGCTTACAACTTTAATATTCACCTTACGTCTTACAAGACGTGTAATGACAAATATAGACATAAATATATTTATTGAGCTTATGCGTTTAATAAATCTAAATCTGTGTAACTTTGTGCTTCTTTGTTAAAACATTTATTATTCAATATCTCTGCTTTCTACCTGTATTCTGTCTTGAATCTGTTCAGAAGTGGCACAACTTGGAGAAGCTTGTTCAGGAAAAGGAGAGTTCGCTGCACTAGTGCTACGAGACAGACGGTTGGAAACATCAAAAATGATCAAAGTGCCCTCTCCTGTTCCAACGAGTAAACTTCCTTCCAATGGAAGAAGTGAAGTAATTCGAGCAGCCTTTAGTCCATTTTTTTCTTCCTGTGAAAACATATATATATATATATATATATACAGGGTGAGGCAAAAATAAATTTGCCCCAAATATTTTATTCAATATTAAACTATAACATTAATGGTTAAAATCTAACTTTCCTGGTAATAATGTATATGCTCCTTTTATAATTATTTTAATTTGCATTGGTTAGTTTTCAATGTAAAACGGTTGAAAATATATTTTATTTCTCAAGACTTGCAGCAATGTCGTTCGGTTATTGCCTAACCCTGTATATATATGTACATACTGCTGATAGGTCCACTCAGTCAGTCCTAGCAAACACCTCTGTCTTCGTACGTTAACGTTTAACTAATATCTATGACTTCCATCAGGACTCCCAGTAGCAAAGCGGTTTGTCTGCAGACTTCCGTCAGAATATTAATGTATCACAATTTTTTTATCACTTCGACGACAATGAGAAACGAGAAGTATGTGAAACGTTACATTCATTCATTTTGCATCTTTTAAACAATCTACTTTACAAAAACTTCTTATTGCTATTTATTAAAATCAATAAAAATGAGTGTCTATGCATACAATAATTCATTATCAGTTTTCTCAGTTACTGAGGAGACGTTTTACATGAAAGTGTTTGTTTGTTTTTCCCCTCAAAAATATCAACTCCTTTCAAAATGTTGAACATATTGCAACTGGCATGTTTATGGTCGACGACGCTTTAAGCCGGTAAAACATGGATTGTGTGTTATGTGTCTTTACATCACAATAACACCCGTAAAAATTTTAACAGCTTTTTTTTACTGCCCCTGGCCCCCAATAGCACAGCGGTATGTCTGCGGACTTACAACGCAAGAAACCGGGTTTCGATGCCCGTGGTGAGCAGAGCACAGATACTTTATTGTGTAGCTTTGTGCATAACTTCAAACAAAATACTGGCCCTGTACGAGTTTCCAGTAAGAAAAACATGATAGTATTACAACCGCACACCAGTTGTACTACATGCCGCTGCCGACATGTTCTTTCGATCAATACCAGAACTCGTCATGTCGGCTGGACATACAAGATTTGTTGAAAACTACTATTAAATTAATGATATAGATAGCGTTTCGACCGAGAGTTTGTGAAAATACAATATTATATTTTGATACAAGTGAAATATTTTCCGTATGAAGCAAATGGTTAAGAACAGATGGTGTTATCGTCTTAGTAAATCACTTAGATACATAATTTCTTTAAACAAGGTCTGGTACAGTTTCGTTGACACACTAACTTCATGAACAGTTCTTAGTGTCCTGTCAGTGTTGGATTACACTTAACTATCATTACATCAGAGTCAACTCTAATTCTAAATATTATAAACGCCAAGAAAATATAGAAGGTGAATGAAAACAGGAAGGAAAAGGATAGAAAAGACAAAAATTAATTATTTCAAACAGAACGATACTTGAATAATGTTGGAAAACAAATACAAGTGAAAAGAAAATTATAAAAGAAAGAAAAGATACATGATTCAACATAAAAAGAGTTGGTATTTTAGAACAAAGCTATCTGCTGTGTACACCGCAGAGAATCGAACCCCGGATTTTAGCGTTATAGCTCCGTAAACTTACCACTGTCTCACCCGGGGACGGTGAGAGAAAAAGTGAAAAAAACGTATTAGATAAAATTAGAAATTGAAAGAAAGAAAGAACAACGTGTATAAAATCAAGTTAGTAGAAGAGACAGAAGAAGGTAAAAATAAAATACAGAGCACAGAAAAAACAAATGGGAGAATATGAGACCAACTGTTAGACAGAGATCAAGAACTGGAGAAGATAAGACAGGAAACAAACAGAAGAGAATTCAATAAGGAAGAAATAAAGCTAAAATAAGTAACGACGAAAGATGCGACATATATTTGCTTTGATTTTGACGAACTTTAATTACCTGAGTAACTAAAATATTATATCTTTCACATGAGTAAACCAAACTTGAAGGGTTCAATACACAAAATAGCGGTACGTAATCTATTAATGTTATTACATGTAGAGTAAATTTGGTCTCAAAATGCTGAAACAAAAATAGAAGCGCGAAATGAAAGAAAAATAACACATTTCGCAAATCTCTTGATAATCGTAAGTAAACACTCGAATGAGCTCTTGTCTTAACAAAATATTTGCATGATATATTGGATGTCTTTAAAAATGAACGTTAAATAAAATTCAAGCTCGAGGAAAGCAAACAACAGGGAGGACAGGTTTTTCTCTGTTATGAAAACAAAGTTACAGATCAAGTATTAGCTCTAATACTAATTATTTTAGTGTGAAAGAAAGTAATTTCTTCTCGTGCTTTTCATTTCAATAGTGAAAACTAGAATTACTTATCGTATGTCTGCTATCTGTCTGTCTATTTATACATCTATTTACAAATATGTCTATCAGTCGCTCCAATAGTCTACTTTTCTACAAATCTATCTTTCCATTTGCTTGTACTGTCAGTTCTCTATCGTTATCCGTCTGCCTTTCTGACAACTGTGCCTGATTGTCTGTAGGACTATTTATATAGTGTTTATCTTGTCTGTCCTTATATTACTGTTTTCCTAATATATTTACATAATTGATTGTTTGTTTGTAATTAAGCACAAAGCTACACAATGGGCTATCCGTGCTATGCCCACCACGGGTATCGAAACCCGGATTCTAGCGTTGTAACCCCGCAGACATACCTACTGGAGGCTACATATTTGATTTGCTTGTTTCTGTACATCTTGATGTGCCTGACTCTCCTCTTAGCGTTCGCATGAATATTTCACCGTTTGTTTGCGTGTAAATCCCTTATGTACACACATCACTCTGTTAATCCTTAGTTATTATGTAACTGTCTACATACGTATATCTTAACTTATAACCTTTTTGGGTGATTTGGGATACATGTTTTCTCTGACGTCATACAGCAGCCTACATACAAGGGATGTAGGATCCCACAACTGAAGGACGGAAGAGCCTTTGATTGCCATCCACACACCGTGCTCTCCCAGCACTAGCATCGAAATATAGTCCAGAAGATTGGTGGAGATCTGGAACTGGTCCACTGTGTCCAACGTTCTGGAAAAAAAAGGGCTTCTTGCGTATTATTCCTTTACTATACAGCAATAGCTGTACATAAATCCCATACACTAGTCCGAAAAATTAAAATTGGTGGCTTTCCTCAGTATATCTTATCGTTGCTTTATCTAAAACGAAAAATCGTATTTCCACATATTGCAACTTAAGATTTTTTCTCAAATTAATTAAATTGTTTATAGTGGTCATTATCCACAAATAAACCCGGGCATGACATTTGGGCTTTGTAGACACTATAAGTCATAGAGCTGATTTTCAATACGATTTCACTGTTCTCAGAAATTTGTTTAGGTTATAATAAATTGCATAATCGTGAAAATTTGATATTTTTCTTTTAATCCAATGTTCTTACTGAAGTAAACTAGCTTCATGCGACACCTAAGAAAAAAACATTCAATTATGAAAAGGTTTTCGGATTTCGCGCAAAGCTATACAAGGGCTATCTGCACTAGCCGTCCCTCTTTTGAAATGATAGAAAATAGCGAAGGCCAACACCACCCATCGCCAACTTTTAAACTATTCTTGCCAGACAGAGTAATGGGATTAGATTGTCACTTTTATCACGCACCTGCAGCCCAAAATGTGGAGCGCTATTTATTTTGCGTGTTTGACTCTAACGGGACGCAAAACACAGAACATCAGCTCCATAGTCCGCTACGCTAACTATTGGTTCACGCTCGGCCCAACACAAAATGTCTCAGTGAACTGAAAATGGCCTCGTAGTTAGCGTCGATATTATGAATTCGAGGGACCATGGTTCTCTTTTGAGCCGTGAGAACGTTATAATAAGAACGGTCAAATTCCACTATTTGATCACACAAGAGCATCTCAAGACTTGCCATGGGTACTGTAGACTAACTCCCTTTCCTCTAGCCTAAAAGTTCTAAATTAGACACGATTAGCGCAGACAGCCCTCGCTTTTCACGAATATCCGAAAGAACGACATCAATGTGCCAAACAACGCCTGTGCATTACACTATTGTGTATGATATCACTAAAAGTGGTAATTGTGAATGTACATTAATGTATGACGTACATGTTTTTGGTCATCCTATTCATAATGGAATTAGATGTCTTTACCCAAATACTGTCGAAAGTAAGCGTTATACAAACTGATCAAATTGTACAGAACACAAGAAATATGTCACTCCAGTAACAAATAGAAAAACTGTTAAACCCAGTCAGCCATTATAGCTTCTTCATTTAGTATCAAGGCCTGGTATGGCTTGGTTATTAGGGCACTCTACTCGCAATCTGAGTGTCCCGGTATCGAAACTTATCCCCGTCCTTTCAGTCGTGGGGGCGTTATAACGTAACGGTCAATCTCAGTATTCATTGGTATAGAGTAGCCCAGGGATGGTGGTGGGTGATGTTGACTAGCTCGCCTTCGCTCTAGTCTATTACTCTAAAATTAGGGACAGCTAGTGCAGATAGCCCTTCAGTATATTTGCGGGAAATTCAAAATAAACAAACAAATAATTTAGTAGAAATCCAGATGAACTTTATTACAAATTATTAGAGAAGTTACAGCTAAAAAAATTTATATTTCTAATTAAAAACTATCTTAGCCGACTTGCATGCACGTTATGAAATAATTATGTTTATAACACATGAAATAACCGTGATTTCGTAAGTTTTTAGTGTAACAAATTCGAAACGTTTGACGTGGTTACCTCAGAAATGCATTATGAGTTGTGTCAATTACAACCCGTAATCTAAATATATCTAAGTTATAAACAAGAAAGACTGTTTCGATAGTGTTATTTTGTTTTTCTCGGATAAATGGCACGAGAGTTTGTAAACAATTTTTAGTCGACGTGTGACCTGTTTGCTCGTTTGTTGGATTTCCCACAAAGCTACACGAGAGGTGTCTTAGTTAGCTGTTCCCAAGGTGCGGAGCGCATTGTTATAAATTTTCTTTGACGATAACGGGACGTGAACCAATGACCTTTAGTTTCTCGGTCTGGCACGCTAACCATTGAGTCGCGCTCGGCCTCGTGTGAAATTAAGCGGGAGCTTACAGTGGTAATTTTTTCTTTATTTTTTTTATCACTGAAGGAATACTTGCGTGTCTAGTTTTGAAAAATTATCGAGCTAATTTTGAAGATATCAATTTTGTAAACATAAGCGATAATACATAATGTCGTATAAAGGTCTAGTAGGTGACATACTGTAATATCCATCTGGTTGGACTGATTTATCTCGCTGCTGCTAATCAAATGGCTATAAAATAGTGTTGTTACTAAAATGTGTTTGATATGAAGTCTCATAGGTTCTAAAAGCCTAAACAGAAGGGCAATCATGCGACTCAAATATGTAGTCCTTAAGGTAGTACACTTACAAAATCCCAATGTAGCTCTAAGACATTTTAGATTATCATCTCTCACCTACTGTTAAGAATTATCACCCTGTTACCACAAGCACACCAAAGTCGTATCTGCACGTGCTGAAGACACGTCACAGGGCTAGAACCAATCATGATGTAGAAACACTCCGGTTGTGGTGAAAATCCCTGGATGCCCTATATAATAAGTAAAGGCAGAATTATATGTACTTTGTATTTGAAAATATTGTGTTAATTAATTCTAAATACTTAAAAAAAAACTCATAAAGAAAAAATCCGGGACTCCAGGTTAAAATGTGTAGTAGTGGTTTAACCATAGAACTACTAAAAAAGTACAAGCTCCCCATCAAGAGTATGAACACCAAAGACCCAATCAGAAACTTACAATTATTTAGTCAATCTCTTAAGGAAACTGTGAACTAGTAATATTATTTAATCTTAATTACTAATATAAAATATTTAAGTGAAATACTAATAAGTAAAAAAAAAAAACAGTCCCGGAGTCTCTTTTCACTTAAGTTTGTTTTCACTTCACTATATAAAATTTTTATTACGCTGTAATAAGATTGACAGATTTCTTTGGTATAAGTAAAGACAAGTTTTAAGTCCTACATGTAAACATTTTGAACTAAATGCAAAGATAAGAAGTACCGCTTAAATAAATATAAAGAATTCGGAAGTCTGGCTGAAACATATTCACCAAAACAAAGTAAAACAAAACTTTTAGCATCAGAAGTATGTATCGCGTGTGAAAAAAAAACTTCACTCTCTCGAACTTTAACTCGGCAAAATGGGAGCTAGCATGTTCACGACGTTATAGAGACGAAGTGGGAGCTAGCATGTTCACGACGTTATAGTGTCGGCTTATAATAATATGGGCTTTGCTGTCTAAAGTAAGGTAGTATATGTTTCGAATTTCGGTGAATGAAAAAATATGTATGTACTTGAACCCGTGACAAAACTAAGGATTCAAACATATTCACGTATGTTTGAATGAAAGTGTGTAAGGTCAATATACAGAGGTTTAGTGTGTTATAATATAAAAGGATTTTAGAGCATAATGTCGTTATAGTCCATGTTCCACGTGCTATATCTAACAACTGTGCATCTTGACAATATCCCTGGAGCGTGGTTTCCATTGCCAAAAGCTCTGTCGTAGCGGTGTCTTATCCAAAGCATACCACTCCTCCCTACTTGCTTCCCATAATCGATCTAGTGTACGAATACAGCGCTAGTTTTAACACTCCAGTTACACAAATATCCATAGGAGTTGCGCCCGACGACTTGACTGATATGTCTTCGTATGGAATAGTATGAATATTCGTTTTATTCTCCAGCTGCTTGAAGTATGCAACGATTGAACGAGAGGTACAACTGGGAGCCTTATCTTGGTGAACCCATACCCCGTTGGCCTCGTTTCCAGACGAAAGTACTTCTTGTTTATGTTCGTACCATTTGTTACCTTAGACAAGTGGTCGGCCTTTGCCACTAATTTTTGTAACTCACCTGTTACAAGACGGAGTCCTTTATTTACCATGCCTGAGATACGACTTATTGCAGGTCTCTTTCTGGATGGTTCTGGTTCTCAAGTTGATCCATATTCCTTTGTTTGCCAGTGTCATTAACTACAAGGAATATCCTCGTCTTGGAATTCTAAGTCACCCATCTCAACACATCTTAAGGACATGTCAGATATCTTTCTCAAAAATGATCCATTTTCGGTAGCACCACGCTGCCTGTGAAACACCAAACAATGTCAAAATGTAGTTCTGAGACATGTAGTTCTACCGCAACACAGTATCGGTTGTGGTTTTCAAGTGAGTTGTTGATGGGCTTTTTCAAAATTGTTTAATATAACGCACTCAACCCTCTGTATACACTGACTTCAGAACAGTCTTTGTCGATACGATATATATACGACAATATTTATTACTTATTGTTAGAATTTTCTTCGTGGTCATCAACAATTTCTGTAGATAACTACATCCTGTTTAATATTGAGAAAAGTATTTCTAGCAATATTTCAGCCTACACCGTATCACTAGATCGAAGTATCAGTTATCAATTTCTCTGTCATGCAAGACTAGTTCAAAGGTAGAGAAACCTATTGTATTTTTATATACTATTATTTTCTGTGACATTCTTACAATATCAGAGTGTCATTTTACTTTAATATGAAGATGACACTTTTTTTTACGATGTTTTATATTACATGCTGGTGTAACTGTATAAAATAGTTACTTGTAAATAGCCGTAGTGTCACACAATCATTTTAGGCTCATTTGTTGTAACGTGTACGTTACCCAAGGTCATATAAACAATAAAGTTATAGCTTTATATTAACATTTTCTTTATCGAAGACACATTCAGTTCAATTAAAAATCCTCACGCAACCAACTAGCAGATACAGTCATTTGTAGCTCCACCTAGATTTAGGAAGATTGAACTGAGCTTATCTACAATCCTAGTAATAGGTGCTAGTAATTCAAGGATTATAAGTCTGATGACGATATATTTAAAGTACATAGAGATGCGTTGGCTTTCTTTCTTGTTTTTCGTGCTTAAAAGATTTAGTGTTTGGAAATAGAAACAACATTCTCTCCAAGCTTGAATGCAAGAAATAATAAGTGTTATTTGTCCGTTACAAACAACATAATAAACTTTAAACATTGCACACACAAAAATTAAAGGATAATCGGGATTTTTAATATTAAAACCATGCCAAAACAAAACAACTGTTATAAAATAGTGTCAATCAACTACTCAATTCCTAACTTTGCAAATAAAACATCAAATCATATATTATATGATGAAATGAATATGATTGTTCATTCAGCTTTCGTAATATATATAGCGTTCTCACACAAGATCCACTAAGCTGTCACTTTGAACTGAGTCACAAAGTTTAAAATACTCTAAATTGTTCTTTAACTGTGACTAAGCCTAGAAGAAGACATTTGGATGTTTCACTCGAGTAGAAAACCATCGCACAAATATATGCAAGCCAATCACAGCAAGCTACTTTGAATAGACTACAAGTGTGTCAAAGTCCATTAACAGAATATGGAATGCATCGAAATCAATGGTACAATTACTCGGAACAGCAGACCTTTATATACAACAAAACAGACTTCCATTATATATCGATTCCGGCTCGCCGCAATCATAGAGTACCTGTTCCCACACTGATTCCAATGTTCGCAGCCACAACTGGAAGCCAATGTGAATGTACTGTTGGCTAGAAGCAGATTTGTATGTCAGTGGTGAATCTGGCTTCACCCTCCAAATACTAGGCTTATATATTCATTTACAGAGAATCTAGAACCAGATTCGACGCAATTTTCATACACAAACATGACATATTACAATGGCGAAGTATAATATAGAACACAAAAAACATTGAGAAACATACCAACCTCTACATCCTGAAAAATTGTATGATTAATGAAACATCACTGGGACCAAATTTTACAATTCTTTATGTTGCCACATGCTGGTGCAACTAGTTTTGATATCATTTTAATGACGTTAACGCTCGATTTTTCCACTGTTCTAAGCCTTGAATAATAAGCGATTAAGTGACATATAAACTCCCATTGAACAACATTCCGTCAAACAGTTACTTAAAAGGAATGGTTAAAAATATTTCAGGTTCTTGTGATCATTCTGTGCCAAGCTGCCCTTGTTGTTCGTGATAATAGTATTTATTGTGGCGAAACGTCTTAAAATCATTTATACCAAATGATCATTTACAAACGTAGATTAAATGAGCAGTCATTTGCATTTTAAACCACATAACGAGTCAACATGCGTTTCATTTGCGTTAAAGTGAAGTGAAGGGTATGACTGACATTATTTTATAACAGTTTTTTTGTCTTATCATACCTTAAATATTATAAATTTCATATATCTTATAACTGTTTTCTGCAGTGCACCATATGTAGTATCGCAGCTTCTGATCATTTCAAGAGTTGTTGTAGAAATGTCTTTTGGCAATTGCTCTTCCCAATTCGGCAAGAAATTGCTCTCCTTGTTCTTGTTGTTTATTTACCTTCTTATGTATAATAGTTTAAGTATTCTTTACGTTCTGTACAATAGATTCAACCCGAGGAGACACAATATTCGTACTGACTAGTCGTGCAATGTAATTCTAAGGACCCATGAATGAAATCATGAGAAAATGTGTTAAAACATGTCAACCACACTACATCTACCATATCCCGTACTTTCGAGGCCTTTCGCTCAATACCAGGGTTTATCCGGCCGACTGTAGTTAAATTGAATTTTGTGTGTTATCAAGACCTTCACAAGACCAGAATAACTAAAACATTAGTCACGCGTGATGAATAGGCTTACCGATAAGGTTGGGGTAACGATAATGTACTGACAATCACAACTGTAAATTGTGTAACATGTATATTTAAGAATCAGAAGAGTTTCTTAAGCCTAAGGTCTTTCCATTATCATGTTCTTGTATGCTGCTAACGATAGGTAATTACTCGCAGCGCACAGATCTATCGATTACAAAAAGAGTTCCTGATACTTTTAATTCCGTTCTACTCGAAATAATGTGAAATTTTGTAGCACAAATTTCATTTCTCGATACATCTTAATCACACTTAGTTGCTTCGTCATCTAAAATCCTGATTAAGCGAATAACATCCCAAGAGATGAACAGAAGTAATCAAAACCTTGTAATATTTATGTGCAATACAAATTACCTGATGTACAGCCTATGAGCTAGCAGTTTGGGGTTTAATCTTCTTAATAATTAAAATATAAATATGCGAGTTGTTATGGCAACATTGTCTAAACAAGCTTACACGCAAGGAGGTTTATCACTTCCACGATAAGTTGATATTTGTGTAAAGTTTAAACAAAATCTGTTAAGCCAATTGCTTTCGATCTGTATGATTAGAAGCCACACTTCGTAATCCGAATCTGGCGTAATTCTTCTGAAATTTCAATATTTCTTTGTTTGGTTGTAAATAAAAGTTACATTTATAACTGTTAAAAGAACGTGAAAATCTGGAACCAATAGTTTTTGTTACGTGCATTCATATCACCACTGGTGGTTTCCATTGTATACTGACAGGGTATTTTACCCAAGTGAGTAAATCATATCCACTGTGGTTTCCATCGTATACTGACAGGGTATTTTACCCAAGTGAGTAAAT